ATATATTTATATATGACATGTACTATAGAGTCGGGTTCGGGTTGGGTCGGATTGACTAAGGGGTCAACCCTAACCCAACCGAAGTAAAACCGGGTTCATGAATTTCAACCCTAACTCTAACCCGACCCAACCCAACCTAACTTTTTCGGATTGGGTTCGGGCCAACCTAGCCCAAGTTGCAGCCTTATACTTGGTTGTCGGCAATTGATGAATGTGGTTTGATGAACTAGGTTAAGGCATGTTTTATACTTGCATTTCCATACCATGAATATTTTGAATTTTTATAATTTTCTTTTTTTGTATTTATCTATTAATACTTTTCATTTTTTTTATCTGAACTAGCCCTTTCCTATTTAATACCCCAATACAACATTGCCCAATATATATGGTGGGCTTATTTTTGAGGGGAGAATAAATTGGAGGCTCTTATCAAATTAAAAAAAAAAGAAACTCTTTGAAGCTCCAAACTAGTTTGGCACATGTAAGATTTCTTATAGGGTGTAAATTCAGGTAGCTGAGTTGAAGATTTTAATGACATCAACCCAAGCCAACCCAAGTTGCAACTTGCAATCCTAATTCCTTGATCATTTAAGGAAGCTCATTAAACAGTCCAACTAGCAAACCTAATTCCATACATGAGAGGGGTTCAGTAGTTGGGTAAGGTAGATAGCTTTTCCTACATCATCATCATCACCAATGACCAAATAGCTGAGATGGCCACTTGGAATTCCTCCAAATATGAAGACACTTAGGCAGATCATCAACCTTGCTTAATTGCAAGCTCTCCATGGTAAAGTTAGCTGATCTCATCTGCACCATACTATTTTTTATTAGATTTAATTAAAATGTATATAATTATATACACACGAAGTTTGTAGTACATCCATTAGTAAAGTTTGCTTGATGTTTTTTTTTTTGTTCCTTCAATGATTTTCATCTCATACCCATAAACTTTTCTTGCATCCATACCCACAAGGCACTACCACCTGTATTGGAAACATCACCCATGAACATACAAGTATGGGAGATTTCCCCTATGTGTGGTGAGTGTAAGGAGGAAATCCAAATTCATGACAAGGGAGATATTTCCAATGCACCCCTTTAGTGTCCTATGGGTTATGGATGTGGGAACATTTTATGGGTAGGAAATCTGAGCTCAGCCCTTTCCCTATACCCATGATCTCTCAGGCTTCAAGTTGATTTGAAATATATATTTGGATAAATTTCTTAAATTACCCTTATGGTTTAGCTAATTGACAAAGTATACCCCTACTGTTTGACTACTGTCTAACACTATCCCTATTGTTTTTGACAATTGACTAGCTCTACCCTTATTGTTTGCATCCGTTAATATTCTGTCAAAACCCATACACATGTGGCACCATATGATGTATAATTTTCTTAAAACTTAATTTTTCCCATCGTCCCTCTCCCTCTCCCTCTCCCTTCTTCATCTTCTCCTTCTCCTCCTCATCCTCCTTCACCATCTTCTTGCTTTTGGTAGTGGCAAACCGAGCTGGCTCAATCCTTAACTAGTGGAGGCTATCACCACCTCCACCTTCAGCCCCTCTCTCACTCCAACTCTCACTCTATTTCTAATCTCTTTTTTATATTCAAGAGCATTCTCTCTCTCTCTCTCTCTCTCTCTCCCCTTTCATATTGAGCTTGCTTGCTGACCTACCTTTTTTCTTCTCAATCGTCGAAAAGGTAGGTCTGGGGAACAGGGGATTTTGCATATACGAATCATTTTGATCGAATCGGTGGTTATTTTCTTTTCTTCTCCATAGGATTTGTATGGATTTGCTATCGTTTCCTTTTCCCCTAATTTTCTCTTTTTCCCCAAGGGGAGAAAGAAAGCAAGTGATGATGAAGCAGTGGAAATTGGTTATGTTTTTGTCTCTGTGCACATAGAGATCAATTCAGTTGTTGATTGGTGTAGGGTTTCTATACATGCTCTTGGTGAGCGTGGAAATCCCATATGTCTTCGGGAGTGGTTCCTTTGTTGCATTGGGAGAGGGCTTTAATGGGTTCTTTAGCGCCTTGGCCTCTTAGGCTTGACCGTGAAGCGGACTTGGAGAAGAGAAGAGCTCTTGTCCGACCTTCCAAGGTGTCTTGTTCCGTTTGATTGCCGAGAAATAGTGGGATGAAAAAGGAAAATTTTATTTTCTTATTTTTGGTCCCTATGTTTGTTTACTGAGACTTATTATCCACTGAATCTGCTTCCAGTGTTTGGTTGATGAGAAAATTTTGCAGGATGTTTGATTTTAGCCCACTTGGATAAGTCCATGCTTTCTCGAACTCCACAACACAACACTATTAGCATGTTTTGTAAGGTAGGAGAGATTTCTTCAACCAACATGTTTGCATTGATCAATTACACACCAACTGAGCCACCATTAGTTGGCCATTGATCAGTTTGTATTAATCTTGAAATTAATGAATGGTTTACCCTTCTATAGGTTTCAATCTTGAAATTAACAATTATGGATGCCATGGTTATCAAATCAATTCAATGTTCAAGCTTGGTTTAAACTTGGAAAATGATATTTGATTGAATGTACATGAGTTTCTTTCATGCCTTGGAGATAAAGTTCTAACATATGATGTCATAAGTAATATGGCATGTTGAAAAGCTATAGACTTGTAATGTGTATGCGTTTAAGGCTACATTAATTTAAACTTGCATATTTTAAAAGAAAGAAAGAACTCAGAGATAACAATGGAGAAACTGAGATGCTACCTTAATTTGAACATGTACTACACCAATTAATTCTTACATGAATATGGACTTAATTAATTTCATTGAAAAAGTACTATTAAGGACTAGTCCTATTGGTCATCAATTCATGCTATTTAATCCACATAACCCGTTGGGCTTAGTTCCTTTTAGGACAAGTTCAAATGTTCAAAGCATCAAAATCGGAACATATTGGAAAGGCCAACCATCAGATTTGTGAGCTCTATTTTTTGTTTTGAGGAATGAAAAAACAAAAAACAAAAAACAGAAAACAAAAAACCATTGGCTTAATTTAAAAAACTTCATGTTCTTTAAAACCATCAAAACAATTGAATTGAAACTAAAGATTCATGAAGTATGTCCAAGTCACATAAACCAAAACCAAAATACATGGAACCAAATAAAGCAACACAACAGAACCCATCAAATACTAATTGAATAAGTAATATAACAAAAAAATCCGTAACAGATTTGGAACGACCACTTGAAATACACCAGATCCGGAACAAATGCATGGAAAAAACAACAGATCTGGAACAAATACATGTCCCTTGCCAGATCTGGAGTGCCGGTGTTAAACCAGAGGGTAATAATAGCAGATTTGGAACATTGGTGTCATGTTTTAGTTCTCCGGCGATGAAAAACTATTCTGGCCGACCATGGTTGGAGGGGTAATTCAATGGGTTGTGGAAGGAGAAGAAATCAATGAAACCTCATCAAAATGATACAACAATAGAAGTAAAATGCAAGAGGATGTCGGATTTGTACTAACCGTTGGAGGATGTATAGTCGGAAGATGAAGACACGAGTTTGGTGCTCTGACAGGCTCGACAAAATTTTCCCACTTGAAACATTATATTTTCTTCTTAGTAGGGTCTCACTGTTTCGGTGCGACCCCATGTTTTAACTTTTGAGAACTCGCATCCCTCTCACTTCCTAGTGTTTCTTGTAAAACAAACACTAGAAAGGTGGAATATTTCACCAATATGTTTTCCATCCCTTCCCTTTCTCGGAAACCAAACCTACCATAAGGTTTCTCAGGGTTCTTTTCAGCCATCTCATCAGGGAACGTCCGAGGGATGGATGGATGAGTACAACATTGTGTCAAGTTTGAATTTTCAATATAGATTCTTCGAGCTTCAGAAATCTGCTAAGCATGCTTGGGATGTTGGGAGGAGCTTGAATCTGGGAGATTCGGCTCGATGACAAGAGCAAAGCCGAGAACTGATCAGAGGCTTGCCCGTACTCCATTATGCTTTTTGAATCAGAATTTCTGGACCAGGGTAAGATTCTGCTACTTCCGTGTGGCTTGACTCTAGGATCCCACATTACACTTGTCGGAAAGCCGAATGCGTCTCACCTCGAGTATAACCCAAAGATATCATTGTTGAAGGATGGGGATAAGTTAGTCATGGTTTCGCAGTCCATGATGGAATTGCGTGAACTAAAGACGGTTGATGGGGACGAGTTATAATAGGGTGGAGTTCTTGCTGAAGTAGGGAGTGAGAGAAGGGCCGGACGTGGAGGGGTCCGGCAGTGGCAGTGGCAGTAGTGGCGGTGCTAAAACAGGGGATAGAGAACAAAGGAGAGAGAGAGAGGGCTGGAGGTGGAGGGGGTTAAGGATTGAGCTAGGTCGGTTTGTCGTTGCTGAAAGGAAGAAAGATGACGAAGGAGGAGGAGAAGAAGAAGAGAGAGGGTGAGAAATGAGGGGTAAAATTGGATTTTAAAAAATTATACGTCAGTGTCATATGTGTATGGGTTATGACGGATTTTAGCGGTTAAGGTAAAGCTCGTCAATTGTTATAAACAGTAAGAGTAGCATTAGGCAATAGTCAACAATAAAAGTATATTTAGTCAATTAATTAAATCATAAGGGTAGTTTAAGAAATTTACCCTATATATTTTTAGAGTTRAACTATGATATTAAAAAAATATGAAATCAAAAAACTAGTAATCAATCAATTACTATCGTCATAACCAATCAGATGGGATGTATCAAAATTCAATGGATTTTTTATTGGTCAAAACTCTTCCGGTACCATATATTTATGACATTATAGATTTTTCTTATATATATATATATTTATTTTATATATAAGAAAATAATTTCATAAATTTTATTTTGAATATATTTTGTTCATGATATAAAATATATTAAATTTATAGTTCATTTTATCAATAGTATATATTTTGATTATTTTTAATTTAAGTTTTTTAATGTTATTATGGGATAATATATTAACATGGGAGTGCAATCCGATGTAAATTTGATGGATAAGATTTGGTTCGAATCCGATTCGATCCGTTTTCACTTTTCAGCCCTAAAATTTTGGATGACCGGAGTGCGCAGAGAGCTTATCCTTCACTCATCACGTATTCCCTCCAAAATTTGCAACCGTCTGAAACCATGAACGCTTGCATTGGGTTTGGTTCTGCTTCTGCTTTCATCCTGCAACCTATCAAAATTCCCACCTCCCAGAGACCCATCCTTATCAGAAATCCGAGAAACCTAACCTTAATTTGCAGAGCTGAATCCAAGCCCAGCAACCCCAGCAGGAGAAATGACATGGGAGGCAACAAACCCACACGCAGAAACCCCAGGAAATCATCGTATGGAAGTTCTAGAAGGTCGATTCTGAAGAAATCATTCACTCAGGAGCAGGTTATTTTCACCAAATCAGTCCCAGAAGACCCTGTTGTTGCGATCATCGGTGGAGGGCTTTCGGGATTAGCATGCGCCCTCAGTCTGGAGAAACGGGGAATTCGCTCTACGGTATTCGATACGGTTCGTTGTCATCCTTTACATTATGTATAGCACGTTGGATGCATCGTGAAATGGAATTATCTCATTTTAGTCTTGTACTACCTGAAATTGGATTCATTAACAGTTGTAGGAAATAGTGGGAATGAGTTCACTTCTGAAATGGTGTCGGTTTCATTTATAAACAAGTAACAACAGCGCATGGCTCCATTTTGTTCTAAAATGCAAAAACATGCCAGTTTATAAACTTTCAGTTTTTTTTTCCTCTTGAGTTAATTCCCCACTTGGAACTGTACATACTTGAGAGTTTTATTTCATTTAACCTTTTCTTTTAAATGTTGAATACTGACTACATTTAGAGTATGTGCTCCACAACTGTTGATAGAATGTTTTTTATTTAGAGTAAGAAGGACAAGACAACTATTCCTGCAAAAGGGATGCTGTGTAAATTTGTCCGTACAATACCCGTACATGGTATTTGGGAATATTTCAATTTCTATTTTAATCACATTAGGATACTAAAAGGAAACCGTAATTTTATGGTAAGGGTTGTAACAGTTGATTGAGAAACAGAGAAATTTCTCAGGGATCCTCCGTGGACGTAGGCTCAATACACCAAGACCAAACCACATAAATCTCATGCATTGCTTCTCTTGTTGTTCTTGTCTTCTTGGCTGTTTTCTAAGCTCTCTTTGTAATAGTTTGTTGGGTTTATGGATGCTCGTTTGTGGATTCTAAACAATTTCTTTTCTGTAGCTTTTTTCTTTGAAGATTTTTTTATTATTTTTCCTCCATTTTTAATCTTGCAACTTATGAGCAGTAAAATATAAGATTTTTCATTTGGCAATTTTTACTTTTTCCATTCTTTTGTGGAGCTTGCAACTTGGTGCATTTTGGAAATTCAGATGCAAGGTCTAAACTTCTGATGCTGAGGTGTTCTCTTTATGTTTGTTTATTTAGGGGCTTCATGGGTTGGGTGGAAGAATGGCTACAAGAGCAATTGATCCTCAGCCTTTGATCTTTGACCATGCAGCTCAGTTCTTTACGGTAGGTGATTCTCGATTTGCTGAGTTGGTTAATGGATGGTTGGAGAAGGGTTTGGTTCGGCAGTGGCAAGGTCCAATTGGAGAGCTCGAAGCCGGTGGTTGTTTTGTTCCACTTCCATCCTTATCTCCAAGATATATAGGTGTTAATGGGATGCGTCCCCTTGCAGATTCAATTCTATCTGAGGTGACTCTTCTCTCCTGGGCTTTTTTTTTTCTTTTCACTGAAATGATAAAAGTAAGCATATTTACATATAATGTTTAGGAACTTATGTGAGGTTTCCTTCTTATTTCCTCCTATTTTAAAAATGATCTTCTCCTAGTATATTTTTGATGTCCCTATCACTTTATTATATTGAAGTGTAGGCAAAGCAAATAAAACAAAACAAAAATAAGGACTTCTTGGATATATGGTTATATGTCTTGTGCCCATTAGAATATGTAATTTCATTACTTTCAAATTTTCTGTTAAAAAGGCCATTACCCAATGTTGTTCCAAACTCCCTGGCGCCCTGGGAGGGGTGGACGGGATATGAACTGTTGAAATGGTTGTTATTCTGTATGTTTAGTACCACAGGGGTACTTTAGTACTTTCAGCTTTTTTTATTTTAAGTTGTGTCGCCCTAGTATAAATAACAAAAAGCTGGCACTGCCAACATCTTTCAGAGACTCCAAACTTTTGTCTCTCTTCTTTCTTCTCTCTTCTCTCTCTCTCTCTCTCTCTCTCTTCCTTCTTCTCCTCTAGATAAAATGGTATCAGAGCGGGACTGTCAGATCTGGAAGAAGAGATCAAGCATACATTCCCTGTCTTCTCCATTTGCCAGATCCAGATCCAGATTCATTGAAGATCCAGATCCAGATTCAGATCGGACTGAAGTACTCTCTCTCCCTTCTTTTTTTATTTTTTTTGGTCGTGTGCCAGAACAGAACCTGTAATAGGTTCAGATTGTTAATGTGAGGCGAGCAGTCCCTCTTCTTTCCTTTTTTGTGGGATCGGCTGATCCCTGTAACAGACTATAAGTCAGTAATGACCTTTATATGCTGAGACAACAGTCTTCTGGTGAACTTGTAGGTTAGGGGATGACCTGTATATGCTGCAACAGCAGCCACAATTGATTTGTAGGTCAAGAGAGGACCTGTATATGCTGCTACAGCAGCCATACCTGATTTATGGTAGGCTAGTGATGACATGTGAGTCCGGTAACAGCAGCTATTTTTGGTTGAAGAACTGAGATTTAAAAGGAGGGAAAGGAGGGGAGTGGTTGTCTCTAATTCCCTAGTGCAAAATATTTTGTTTGGGGTGTTCGGCTTCTTCTATTTGGTCTTCCTTGTGTTCAGTTGGAGTGTAACCTRAAGTTGTGATTATGAGTGGTGAAGACTATGCCACATCTGGAGTCTCCTCAATGCAAAACGGAACAAGTGGGGGAATAGATTTGTCCTTCCCTATGGCTGTTGTACCCCTATATGGTCTGAATTACTTAGAATGGTTGAGGGGGATCAAGTTATACATTACAGCAAGGGGAAAAATAGGGCATATAAATGGGAGAATTAAAGAACCGAATCCCGGGAGTGCTGAGTATGATAGATGGAACTAGGAAAACAACATGGTTATGTCCTAGCTTTTGGTGTCTATGTAACCTCAGGTGAGAAGGAACTTCATGTGGGCTGAAACGGCTTATGAGATTTGGGAGCAGGCAAATTCAACCTATTCTGAACTGCGTCGCTACGCAAAAATCTATCAATTACAAGCAGAATCATCCACTTGTAAACAGGGGGAGAGGAACCTTTCTGTGTACTATTCAGGTTTGACCTCCGTTTGGAAGGAGTTAGATCACTAACAGAGTGTAGATTGGAAGTGTGATGAAGATGCAAAAGCATACAAGAAGCTTGTTTCCCAACAGAGAGTGTTTGCATTTCTCCGTGGTTTGAATCTAGTATATGAATCCATCAGTGTCCAAATCCTAGGCAGTAAGGATCTTCCCTCTGTCTAGGAGGTTTATGCATTAGTACAATCGGAAGAGACTAGAAGAAATTTAATGAACAGCTCCGGAGGGGATGCAGTTGTGTTGGCAGCAAAAGGGAATGTTGCTACAAGTGGGGGAAATTTTTTTTAAGAAGGGGGACCCTCAAAAAAGGGTGGAAGACAGACAAATTATGGTGCACTCACTGCCAGAAACCCCGACACACCCGGGAAACATGTTGGGATCTTCATGGGAGGCCCAAATGGGCCCAGGATTTAAGCAAGAAGCAAGGTTCAGACCTGAATAAGAAGTCAGGACAACAAGGTCCAAGAAAGTTCACCACAACAAATATGGCTTCTCGGGAGAATCAACCCCCTACTATTGCTATGACTCAGACATACACTTCTGGTTCTGACCCGAGGGAGGATATTATCAACTCCTTCCGTGACCATTTGGAACTCTATGGTAGAGCAATTCGTCAGATGGATTCTTCTCCTCCTTCAACTTCATTTGCGTCTACATCAGGTRACTCTGCCATAGCTTTCCATGTATCGTCTCATCCCCCTAGCTCTCCTTGGATAATTGATTCTGGAGTGTCAAAACATATGACTGGTAAGTCCACTTATTTTCATACCTATCAATTCCTCTCTGGAAGAGACAAGGTGAGACTAGCTGATGGTTCATATTCTACCATAGCTGGTCAAGGAACCATCTCTCTTCCCTTTGGCCTCACCCTGATTAATGTCTTACATGTTCCAAAATTCCCCATTAATTTGTTCTCTGTTAGTAGTATCACTAATTCTTTAAACTGCTTAGTAACCTTTTTCCCTAATTATTGTGTACTCCAGGATTTGGCCTTGGGGAAGACGATTGGTAGAGGACGTATGATGGATGGACTTTACATGCTGGAGAATAAGGCTAGTCTTACATTCACAGAGTCTAAGAGTCAGTCTAGTAAAAGTCAGGTCTATTTATGGCATAGTCGTCTCGGTCATTTGTCTTTTGAGTCTTTAAAATTGGTGTTTCCAGAGTTGTTTAAGTCAGTGTCAGTGTCACAATTTACATGTCAAACTTGTCAATTGAGTAAGCATTGTAGAACTCATTTTTCTTCAAAGAATAATAAAACTGAATTTCCTTTCCATATTATTCATCCTGATGTTTGGGATCCTGTTACTTTACCGTCCGAGAGTGGCTACAAATATTTTATTACCTTTATTGATGATTACTCCAGATGCACATGGATATATCCTATGCGAACTAGGGATGAAGTACCCAAAATTATCCAAGATTTACACCGAATGATCTTCACTCAATTTCAAKTTGAAATCCAAATTTTCCAATTCGATAATGCAAAAGAATATTTTCATAATGATCTCACGGAATTCTTTGCTTCACATGGATCACTTCACCATAGCTCCTGTGCCCGAATACCACAACAAAATGGTGTTGCTGAAAGAAAGAACCGACACTTTCTTGAAGTGGCTAGGGGTTTACTCATCCATATGAATGTTCCAAAACGTTTTTGGCTTGGGGCGGTCCTTTGTGCTACCTATCTCATTAACCGTGTTAGTGTTCGGTCTGCCTATTAGACTGATAACTGTCAAGGAAGAAAGAGAGAAGAGAGAAGGAGAGAAAGAGAGAAAGGAGAAGAGCAGAAGAGAAACAAGGAGAAAAGATTCTAGTTTGAATGAGAGAAAAAGTACACTCTTCCATTCGGCCAGATGTATTTTATATTACTAAAATAATGTGGAAAAGTCACATATGCCCCTACTTAAGTTAGGGACATTAAATCTAACATAAACTTACACATCAGCACCTAAACACAAGCACAAAGATAGAAATACCCCTACATACTCAACACTAACACTCCCCCTCAAGCTGGAGAGTATATATCATATAATCCCAGCTTGTTACATATGTAGTCCACTCTCCCCCGACTCAACCCTTTAGTAAACAAACCTGCCCACTGGTTCCCTGTGTTGACATATGCAGTGTCTATCACTCCACTCAACACCTTCTCTCTAACAAAGTGACAGTCAACCTCTGTGTTTGGTTCTCTCATGAAACACCGGATTAGAGGAAATGTGAACTGCAACCTGATTGTCACAGTAGAGCTTCATTGGAGTATCAACAGTGTATCCCATCTCCTGTAGAAGGTTCCTTAGCCACACTAATTAACAAGTAGTATGTGCCATAGCTCTATATTCTGCCTCTGCACTGCTTCTTGCCACAACTGTTTGCTTCTTGCTTTTCCATGTCTCCAGATTACCTCCAAGAAAAGTGCAATAGCCTGTGGTAGATCTCCTATCAGATATAGAACTGGCCCAATCAGCATCAGTATATCCTTCTATTTCAAGTTTTTCACCACTTTTGTATATCAAACCGCGACCAGGAGCCCCCTTTAAATACCTATAACCGCATCCCAATGTGGAACCAGAGGTTTTTGCATGAACTGACTTACCACACTAACTGCGAATGAAATGTCTGGCTAAGTGATGGTTAGGTAGTTTAGTTTACCTACCAGCCGCCGATATCTGCCAGGGTCTTCAAACACTTCACCCATATCACTCTACTCAGCTTAGTGTTTGTTTCCATAGGAGTTTCAGTTGGTTTAGCACCTAACAAACTTGTTTCTTCAAGCAAATCAAGAAAATATTTCCTCTAACACAAGTTAATACCATGCTTGGACCTTGCTACTTCTATCCCCAAGAAATACTTCAATTTACCAAGGTCCTTTGTCTGAAAATGTTCTTGCAGAAAGATCTTCAACCTGTTAATGCCCATTTTATCATTCCCGGTAATGACAATATCATCTACATACACCACTAATAGGATCTTCCCTGCTTGAGAGTCATGACTGAAGACGGAATGGTCAACTTGGCACTGTTTTATACCAAACTTCTTTACTACCTCACTAAATCTACCAAATCATGCTCGAGGAGACTGTTTAAATCCGTAAATGGCCTTCAGTAGTCGGCACACCTTACCATCCTCCCCTGAGCAACAAACCCCGGTGGTTGCTCCATATAGACCTCCTCGAGCAGATCACCATGCAAGAAGGCATTCTTGATATCAAGTTGATAGAGGGGCCAATCATACATCGCAGCAAGTGAAATCACAACATGGACTGAACCAATCTTAGCAACCGGGGAGAAAGTCTCCGTGTAATCAATACCATAGGTTTGGGAATACCCTTTGGCAACCAATCTAGTTTTCAGCCGCTCTA